ACATTGGTATGATTTATGTCAGGGAATATTTTGCGTATGTTTTCTTCCTGGAGTTTTATGGTGTCGTGTCTTATAGTTAAGTGTTTAAGCCACTTTGAGTTTATTTTTGGGTATGGTGTGAGGGAGTGTTCTAACTTCACTGATTTACATGCTGAGTAGTGTTTTTGAGTGTCCATCTTATATAAATGCAACAGCTATATATTTAGATTCATCTCTCCTGATACATATATATGTAAGCAAACACACAAATAGCTCCCTTCTAATTAACTGAAGTAGGTTGTTTTGCAATGTGAGCCTTCAAGAAAATAAAGATATTCATCAGATGTGGATCACCAAAACAACTGTCATGTGTAAACCATAATAATTTTTAAGGGACTGTATAATTTAGCTCATTTGTCTCTTGTGACAGTCCTGTGAGACTGGCCACATAATCACCACCACCACCATCATCATGACAGTCACAACCATCTCCACTATCATCACCACTACCACCATCATCATCATTACCACCATCCTCACAATCACTATCATCATCACAACCATCAGCACCACCATCAGTACCACTAATATCATCACTGCCATCATCACCATCATCATCATCACAATCACCATCTCCATTATCATCATCTCCACCATCATCATTATCACCATCACCACCACCGTCATCACCAGCACCATCATCACCAGAATCACCACCACCATCACCACCACCATCACAATCACCATCATTCCACTATCACGACCACCATCACCACCATCATCCTCACCATCTACATCACCTATATCAGCGCCATCATCATCATCATCACCACCACCACCATCACCATCATCACAATCACCAGCATCACAATCACCATCATCTCCTCTATCGTCATCACAACCATCATCATCACCATCACAACCATCATCACCACCACTTTCACCATCATTACCACCATCACGACTATCACTACCACCATCATCACCATCACCACCACCACCATCACCACCACCTACATCAGCACCATCACTATCATGACCACCATCACCATCATCACCATCACCACCACCATCATCACAATCAGCAT